AATATTTTAGCGTATGTATTGAAATTTGGGGTTTAAAAAAATAACTTCGTATTTAGTTAGCTTTCCTCTCCTGTAAAGAAAACTAATAGTCTTAGATAGTTGAGTGATCGAGTTTTAATGTCCAAGTTCTTAAAGTGGCTATACAGTGCTTAACTTTAACGGCAACTATTGGTAATCAAATCAAACGATGTAATAAACAAAGTCTGTCACTGAAAAAAATGAGAAGATAAAATAAATAAAAATAGGAAAGAGCACGTGAATACCCCCAAAGCTCCGATTTAGTATCAAAAAACATTTCGCTTTTATATTCAATGTGAAGAAAGTTTCTGTAAAGTTTTTACTTTAATGAAATGAGGGATATTCTATATTCAATATTCAATGAAAAGAAAGATCTCATTTTAGGAGGAATGTTTTCTGTAAAGTTTTTACTTTATTGCATATTTGTATTAATTGTATTTGTATTAATATACTTTAAAGCATATTAATACAAATTTATCATAACGTATTTTTTTCTCGTTTAAGGAATCAAAGTAAACAATGTAATCTAAATAATTTGAATAAAAAAAATGGATTAACTCATCAAAAATGACAGTGTTTTGTTAAAAGCTTTCTCTCTCTTAATTCCCATTTAAAGCATATTAATACAAATTTATCATAACGTATTTTTTTCTCGTTTCAGGAATCAAAGTAAACAATGTAATCTTAATAATTTGAATAAACAAAAATGAATTAACTCATCAAAAATGACAGTGTTTTGTTAAAAGCTTTCTCTCTCTTAGTTCCCATTTAAAGCATATTAATACAAATTTATCATATTTTTTTCTCGTTTCAGGAATCAAAGTAAACAATGTAATCTAAATAATTTGAATAAACAAAAATGGATTAACTCATCAAAAATAACAGTGTTTTGTTAAAAGCTTTCTCTCTCTTAATTCCCATTTAAAGTATATTAATACAAATTTATCATAACGTATTTTTTTCTCGTTTAAGGAATCAAAGTAAACAATGTAATCTAAATAATTTGAATAAACAAAAATGGATTAACTCATCAAAAATAACAGTGTTTTGTTAAAAGCTTTCGCTCTCTTAATTCCCATTTAAAGCATATTAATAAAAATTTATCATAACGTTTTTTTTTTACGTTTAAGGAATCAAAGTAAACAATGTAATCTAAATAATTTGAATAAACAAAAATGGATTAACTCATCAAAAATGACAGTCTTTTGTTAAAAGCTTTCGCTCTCTTAATTACCATTTAAAGCATATTAATACAAATTTACCATAATGTTTTGTTTTTTTTTCTCGTTTAAGGAATCAAAGTAAACAATGTAATCTAAATAATTTGAATAAACAAAAATGGATTAGCTCATCAAAAATGACAGTCTTTTGTTAAAAGCTTTCGCTCTCTTAATTACCATTTAAAGCATATTAATACAAATTTATCATAATGTTTTGTTTTTTTTCTCGTTTAAGGAATCAAAGTAAACAATGTAATCTGAATAATTTGAATAAACAAAAATGGATTAGCTCATCAAAAATGACAGTCTTTTGTTAAAAGCTTTCGCTCTCTTAATTACCATTTAAAGCATATTAATACAAATTTATCATAATGTTTTGTTTTTTTTTTTCTCGTTTAAGGAATCAAAGTAAACAATGTAATCTAAATAATTTGAATAAACAAAAATGGATTAGCTCATCAAAAATAACAGTGTTTATTAAGTATCATCTAGTTAAGGGTAGATTTTACTTTCGACTGCTGCCTTTAAATTAAAGACAAACGACTCTAATTTTTTAAGTGATATTTTTTCTTTGGTACGCTCCCACTTCTCTCGGAAAACGCAATGCCTCAGGGCTCTTAATGACTTTTACAATGGCCGGAAATTGTTGATCATCTAATTGTCTTCGTTAAATGGCGAGAGGACACGAGCCGCGGTTAATAACACCAGGAATTGTCCCTCCTCCCATACACTGCAACCAATTTTTTGTTGAACTTCTTAGTGGAAATGGGTGCATTCTTCACGTAGTACATGAGATAATAGTATTTTTTTCATTTTTCATTTATTTATTTACTCACTCCACAAATGTTTCTTTAAAAAAAAAACTTTAAGGCATTCATTGTCATGATCCAATTGTTTGACCTGTCTTTGTACCATTTATAAGAAAGCGTTCAATTCACGCACGATATCACCAAGCGCTGTTCTTCGATGTAACTGTAGAACACTCTCAGAAATATCGATGCAACGTTGAACCATAATATTTTTCCTTGAACAATAATATTGTGAACACTTGCTGCAATCTTAAAAAGATGTTAAATAGAACCATATTTCCGTTTCAGTTGAAAGATAATATCGTATTGTATTTTGTATTACTAATAATATTTGCTTTGCGGCTATCAATATTAAACTCCACATTCTTGTAATTGTAAACCTAACTCAGAAGACATGGGAATAGCAGGATTCGGCATTTATACTAGATTGCTGATGGTTGATGTATGTAGTTTAACAGATATGAGATATGTCTTTATTTTGTATCAGTATATCATTTTACTTAAAAACAGCTGTTATGTCTAAGCTGACCAGACGATCTCAAATTTTGAGGACAGTCCTCGAATTTCAATAGTAGTCCTCAAAAACTTTAAAACTTTTGAAGACAGAAATTTTTTTTAATTTTTTATAATTATCCTCGAATTGTCCAAAAACATATCTTCGTTTTTTGTATGCAGTAAAATAAAAATAAAAAACCAGAAATTATGCATAGTTTACTAAACAAAATAATTTTGTCTGACGGAGAATACTATGGAAAAGCAAAAAAGTTCCATGCTAAAACTAGTTTATGGAAACTCCATTTTTATCTGAAAATAATTTGAGAAAAAATAAGTAAATTGATAATCATAAACTCTTTAATTTATAAGAGTTAAGCAAATGCAGAATATCATATAATATATCAAAACTGCTTTGTAATAATATCAAGCCTCATGGCTCTAATCTAATATGAATTATAAATTTTAAAAGGAAAGAAAGCTTGGTTGAGCATGAAATTAATATTTTCCATAAATATACGATTGATTTTCCTCGAATCGTAAATTTTTTGAGGATGCTCCTCCAATTTGTCCACAAATCATGGTTTCGAAATCTAGTCACCTCAGTTATGACCTAATCTTAATTTATTCAGAACTATTACTAAATATTTTTATTTCCCACAGCTATTAGGGAATCAATGTAATTTGCGAAAAAAATTAAGACTAATGGTCAATTTTTTACAAATTCTATTACTGTAGTTTTAACTTTCATTATTCCATCTGAAACGCAAATTCATTTTCGGTATTTTTCTTAAAAAGCAAAATTATCCTAAGCAAGGAAGAGTCAATATACTCAATAATTAAATGTTTTTTTTTTACAAAACGCGTCAATGCTTAGCTAGTAAATCATTTCTGAAACGGAAGAGGATGCGCGTAAATTATGAAACATATATCATTGAGTTACCTTAATAATAACAATAAACATATCAGGATAACTTAGGGAACAAAACAATGGCCAGTTAGCTAATGACTCTAACGAGTATTGCCTTAACTGCCATTTGACTTATTGGAATGGGATTACAAAAAATCACATCAAAATAACTGAAGAGGATACAATCCACGTACGTAAAGCTTATTCAGTGGAGTTTTATGAGTTATGTTCCGAAAATGAATGGTATTATGATGATCATAAACATGCCATTTTGTTGTTGGAAAATAGAACATGAGAGAATGGCTAACGAGAAATAGAATGGATCTTTTAAAATTTGTTGATGCGTTTATTTCTTTTTGGTGGATTGTGTGATAACAAGAACAAAATTAGTAATATCTCTGAATTTGAACTGTCCTCCAATTTACTTTTTTTTATTTGAACTTTTTGAAGTTCAATTAAAAGTTTTGAGAGCTCTCATACGAGACTTTTAGTTTCAAAACATGAAAAACCACACAGAAGCATTTGAATTTGGATGAATATTTGTGAAGAAAATCGAGGTCTAAGAATGTTTTAAAAAAACCTTACCTTATCAAAATACATTTAATGTTTATGCCAATTAAAAAGATATTTTGAATCGAACAAGTTTTGTACATTTGACTTTTTCTCACTGAAAAAAGCATATAAACAAAAAAGTACAACATTTGGTTTCGTTATAAATAAATAAGAATGATTACTAATTGTTCAGAAAAGCTCAGCCAAATTAAATACGAGTAAGTAGACATGGGATACTTCTTTAACTTTCTATCTCACAGATGCTTTCTTCAACAGGTAATAATTTTATTATTATATAAAGAAAGGCGATGCTGGCTCAGGGGATAGAGCACTCTCTTCCCAATGAGGTGATTCGGGTTCGATTCCCAGCTAAGGCTGATCGATAGGAATTCCGCACCAAACTCGCACCGACCACAGTGCTCATGTAAATTATCCTCAAAGGTAGACAGATCATGGGTTAGTTTCCTCTCGCCGTCAGGCTTACCGTGAAGTTCACTACGAATGTGAATTTCTCCCGATATTTGATCTAGGTGTTCCCTTGTCTTCTGGATTGGTTTCAAAATTACAAGGCTACGTAGTGGAACAATATTGGTAGTCATTAACTCAAAATTGGGTAGCCTGTTCATCGACGGTTATAAAAAAAATATTAAATAATGAGAAAGAAGCTACCTTTGCAGACTAATTTTTACTGCGTAGGGGACAGAAGGGAGAAGTCAAAGTGCATAGCCAATTTGTATTTATTCAACTAATTTGTATGGAGAACCTGCGACACATATTAAACTACTTTAATTGAAGACATTATTTTATGGGAGATATACAGATAATAGGAAAAAAAGTTGCAAGACATTACTTGATTTCACAATAACTAACTTTCAGTGCTTAGTGAGGTTTCTGAAATTTATTCAATGTGTCTTAAATTTTGTACGAATGGTATGCATTTTTAATTTACCTTAATTATCATTTTTAATTACCAGAAAATAATGTTTTGAATACTTTCAGAATTCCCAGTATGGAAAATTCTACCGGAGGATAAAGAGGTGGTATATGGAAACGATGTTGCTATAGATTGCTCTGGCACTGGCGTTCCTCTACCAAAGGTTACATGGAGAAAAATTCTAAGTATGCTACTTAATATTTATAATTGAAATATGATATTCGCAACATCAATGAAAAGTAATCCGCTACATAAGTGAAAATAAAATATAATCTAGCGCAACGTAAAATCTATTAAGTGAAGAAAGGGGAAATTTACACACGTTGCCATTTTTTTACCACAATTTTAGTTCTTTTTTTTAAGTGTATTTTAAAAAATAAAGAAGAGTGAATTTGCAAAAAAATTATAGAATAACAAGTTTACGAATAGGGCCTCTTTTACATTTTACACAGCAGCACTGAATATGCCAAAAATAACACAACTAAATATATATTAAATTACTTTTGTTTTCCAATGCTATCATATAGGCCATCATAGATGGATTCAGATAAAAAAAAAAGTACGATTCTGGGTGTCATTATTTTCTAGGAAGTTAGGCTAACTATAGTAGCCCCTCTACTAAGTTAATGTGGTAGAAGAGATCTGTAAAAAATTAAGAATAGCATCACTTGTCTCAATTTCATTTTACTAAACACAAAATAGCCTGTTTTAGGCTATTTTACCATTTCTTAATATTAAGCTGAAACACTTTTAAAGTATTGTTTATTCAATTTCCATTTGCAATAAGTCAAAATCCAAAAAGAAAATATAGTTACACAATGTAATTCTATAGTATAAAATTGCAGCACGACGAATTAAGGTACTTGCCTACGTTGAAGCATTATATTGAAGTATTATATTATTATATAAGACATTAGAGGTTTGCCAAACTCTGGAATATGCCATTTGGCAGATATCGATTCTAAAGCATGTTCTAAAGATAGAATCTTGTTTTAAAAATATCAAATTTTACGCTCATAAATTTTTATTTAATAACCGTAGAGATTTTTCACTGTATATTTTGAAACATTTTATGCGGATTTCTACTATTTAAACAATTTAACAAGCTAATCACTCAAAACATTGTAAAAGTTTATTCATTAACTTAAACTGATGTATTCAATTTGTGAATTTAGTTTACTACCTTTGATGATATGAGGAATTCACTTGCTTCTTAACATTATGAAACATTTGAATATTTTTATAATAATAGTTGGGTAAGTGTTTTGTTTAATATTTCCAAAATTGCGATGTGTTCGTCTATTTTCCTGATTAAATTCTTACTTCACTCAGAAAGGATGTCAAAATGAACTTTTCGCTAATTCTTATTTAAAATTTATGTAAAAATTAGAAATAATTTTTTTTTATTGCTATAGAACCTTTTGAACACGATTTACAACGTTCAAAGAATATTTTACCAAAATTTGAAATCGATAATAAATCTAATCCAAGAAAATAATGTGCAAAAAAATAAAAAAATAAAACAAAAATTAATTTTTTAAAAAAACTATTTTTTATTGAAGTTTATGTTTTTAAAAAAAAAAAAAACTTGCTTTTTCTTACTAAATTAAAAATATATATTATTCGCACAAGTGAATTAAGGCTATTTTTTTCCTTTGAAGAATTCACCGAATGTAACTGTTGTTTCTATGTTTACTTAAATCATTGAGGAAAACTAAAATTAATTGTTAGAAATTATTTTACTTAACACAAATAGCAGTGCCATCTAGTAGTGCTTCTGTAACACTCAAATTGAAATTATAATAATAAAAACTAAAACAAAAAATTTTAGAGAAAAAAAATTCTGGGGATAAGAATTATAATTTATTTGTGAACTTTACATTTGTTGTTCGTAAATGTAATCAAATAATTTAATAATGGCATTGCAAAAATTATTTTTTTTAAAATTATTGTATGAAAATTATTTTTATAGCAAAATAGGAAAATGCATAGGAAGACTTGAATTCCATCCTATATTAATGCCATATTAATTTAAATAAATTATATTTTTAAAAATTTGGGTAAATATCGAAAAATATTTGTGTTAATGCAGAAGAGAAAGAAAATTTTAAATTATTTGCAGATTCTGAGCCTTCATCTCTTCTCAACAGAGGTCACCACCGCCAATTGAATAATGGAAGTTTAATCTTGATGGATGTTCAAATTGAAGATGGAGGTGAATACGAATGTATTGTATCAAATGGAATCGGAGAAGATTTAAAAAAAACAGTGTCTGTCAAAATAAACGGTAATTATTTAATCAGTATATTACTTCAATATAATTAACGGAAAAAAAATTTTCACATTCGCCGTTTTTTGTGTGAAAAAGAAAGATAATAAAAATAAATTTTAAGATAATCGAAAGAAAATAGAGAATTAAAAAAATAAAATTGCAGAAGAAGTTTGAAAATTTAAAATGTTTAAAGACATGTTAATATAAAAACCTACTTATAAAATTATTTATTCATATCTATAATAGTTATTGAATATTTATAAAATCTTATGATCAAAGAGGAGATGAATCCACTACATTCTTAAAATATCTTAATATTTTGTGAAAAAATACATTTAAAGTTTCTTTATTTAATGTTCATAATATATATCAAAGTATGAAAAAATATTTCAAATGGTACATGAAAACTGAATATGCCATTCCTCACAATAAAGATAAGTGAAACAAACAATATATTCTGTATTTTCTACATTTTAGCTCTATTTATTTTAGCTTTACATTAATTTGACAGCATTTAATGTATATTTTACTAAAATTTTGATTTAGCATGACTTAATAAATTAAACAAAAAATGACATGAAAAATTCATGATAAGATAGTTTGTTTTTACATTTAATCATTGTAAACATTATTTTTTTTTATTCCACAGTTCCTCCTCAATTCCATGAAACACATCAAGTACAAAATGTGAGAAGTGGTCATTCCGCAATACTCCGATGTGACGTTTTTGGAGACATTCCCATAACTATTCTATGGTCGAAGGAATATATGGACAAAAAAGACAGTAGGTAGGAGATAAAGTATACAGCAAAGCTAAATACATAAAGCGTTTTTAAAAAAAAGTTTTGACATTTTTAAATAATTGCATTTCTTTCTATTTTTTAATTTAGTTGTGATAAATTTCTTTTGTTACTTAAGGTTTCGAACTTTAAGCTTCCCTCTATTAAAAGATAAAAACTTCATTGACTTCAAAATTTGCAGATGGAAATAAAAGTTGACATATTTCAGGCTCTCAAAAATGGACACCCATTCGAAATCTAAAAATACGACTCTTTTAAAATTTGATTTTTTAGAAACTATTCAACCGTTTTTGCTCAGATTTTGTATTTACCAATTAAAATTAAATTCTTAAAAATGATATAAAAAATTTTAACAATTCAAAATTTTTTCGACTCTTATTAAATAAAATAAAATATATGAAATATTTGCTAAAAGTAAATTTTTTGCATGCAATTATTTGCGGATAAACAAACTCTATAATTGTGGGAAATAATGTTTCAATTCTCTTAAATTTTTTCAATTCACTTAAAAATTCGCTTTTCGAAATGCGCACGAAGTAAAATTTACATTAAGGGTTTCAAACTTTGAATCATTCTCCTGACCAAACTGTGGGGACCATACTTCCCATATCGCGGCTTATTAAGAGGGTCAGAAATCCGAATCTATCGAAAAAAAGATATGTTTATTCAGAGAAAGTACGTTTTTATGTCTGATTTCGTAACATTGTATTTTTGTTAATTAAACTAAAATATGTCTAAATTAGTCAAATATTTTTAATAACCTTGTAACAAGAAAATGATTAAGGTTACAAGAGAAAAATTTTTGAAGCAAATTCTTGTAACAGAGCAAATATTTTTGCTCAAAAGATCTAGTTTTTATCATATATATATATATATTCAATAGATGGTGCTTAAGATTGTAAGCCTGTAAATCAAAAAAAAAAAGAAAGAAAAAAAATTTAATTTTTTCATAATCTTTTAATGAATAAAAACCACAATGCCATATCAAATGCCATCGGTCACAATTACGTGCCGTAATAGGAGATGTTTGAATTTTTGATTTCAAGAGAAATTCTAAAGAAAATATAAATGAAGCATTGGTTGGGACTTGACTCAACTGGGTTACATTTGCAATACTAATATTGCGAATAGGTTGGTGCTGTATTAGTTAATTAGATTATTTATAGTTTTTGCGGTAAAAGTCAAAAATGGCAGTTTCGCTTCATGAGCCTGAATTAAACAACAGATTCCTTGTTGTAAATAACAGGTTCGTTGCTTAGATAACCTACATTTTACTTTATAAATAAATTGAAGGGCAAAATCTTGTATCGTTGTGATAGAAAAATAATTCGCCAAATACTAACAAGGGAAACTAGGGAAGTGTGACTCGCCAATTTTGAAGTAAACTAGTAGGATGTATGCCATGTGAGGAATAATTTTAGGGGGCAACATTCGCTTCGGCCCATAGAAGGTCCTGTGAGAGATAAAAAATAATTCAATATACAGAAAAATCGGTATTTTATTACTTCAATGCAGATTAGTAGTTATTGTAATTATCTCATACTCCAATTAATTTTTTGGTACTTTCACGTACTATAATGCATATTTATTGCCAAAATTGATTTCGAAAATTTTATATACCTGTAGTTTATCAGAAAAACCTGTTAAGTTAATTTTAAAAAAAAATTGACATCAAATTTTTTTTATTTTTTTTTTTCAAAAAATTTTCCAAATTAATTGTCGTATGTAATTGCAAATCAATTCATTAATTAATAATTTATTAATATGAATCAATTAATAATTACTTAATAATTATCTATTAATTAACTATTAATTAATTATTAATTAATTGTTAATTAATTATTAATTACTTAAACAATTAATTACAAATTAATTGGAGTATGAGACAATTACAGTAACCAATAGTCTGCATTGAAGTAATAAAATACTGAGTTTTCTATGTATTGAATTATTTTTTATCTCTCACAGGAACTTCAATGGGCCGAAACGAATGTTGCCCCCTAAAATTATTCCTCATAAGGCATACATCCCACTAGTTTATTTCAAAATTGGCGAGTCACACTTTCCTAGTTTCCCTTGTAAGTATAAATTAGAAGAAATGCCAGTAGTGTTGTCTTTAAAGTTTAAGTTTCTGGTCCTGGATTAGGATATAGTAAGCTGTTTTTCGTTTCAACAAAAGCTATGTAAAATTTTAGCTATGTGTTTTTTTTTTCTTCATAATTTTAGAAGATAATTTTCATAAGTTTTCTAGAATATTTTCATTTTTACAGCTTGATCGATTTTTAAAGGTACTAAAATTTATTCTTTTTAGATACAAAATTCAAGAGACACCTATTCCGAATGGGCTACTTTCCGAGTTGTTCATTTCCAGAATTGTCCGAGAAGATGCAGGGCTTTATATATGCACTGCGACTAACAATTTTGGCAAAGAACAGAAAACCATAAAACTAGTTGTTTTAGGTAAGAATAATCCGAAATTTAAAGAACTAAAAATAATTTTTTAAACTTTTAACAGTTTCAGAATAATTAGAATAGTTAAGATTGTAAACTTAACTATTCTAAAAAAGATTCTTCATTGATTCGGAAGCACGAATTCGATGAATTCGTGCTTCGTTATTAATTTCTAGAATTGTGCTCCTTTGCAAAAAATTGTGAGTTCTGATAAAATTGTGTTAAACTACGTCTAATATATCGCATTTATTTTTCCAGAGCCACCAGCTTCCCCATTTGATGTCGTCGTACGGCAAATTGAAAGATCAGAAGCTACCATACAATGGAAAACGCCATATGCTGGCAACAGTCCCATTAAAAATTACATCATACAATACTGGCGAGATACGGGTAATTTTTTAAAAAAAATTGCATTGGATTATGTTGTTCGAAATGTACTTTCTATTTCATTTAATTGTTTTAACCATTTAATTGTTCTAAATGTACTTTCTAAGAAGCATTGAAATTAATTTAAATCAAATTGCAATGTATATAAATAGACTGAAATGCCTATAAATCATAAATTTTGCTGGTTATATATATGTTCAGAAATTCCTTCTAATAATAGTTCAACTTACACAATACTAAGCTGGTTTAAAAAGTATAAGTTTCCATGAAGTGAGCAAAGCGATCTAAAATGAACTCTAAAATGAGTTCTAGGTGTTGATAAGCGCAGTGAGCAAGGAGTGAGACACCCTAGCAATTTAACCAATTCTTATACTAAAATTATTATTTAATTAAGGTGAAAAACTCATAATTGCAACTGCCATTAAATAACCCTGCACAAATTATAACCTTTTACGTTGTGCTCCAACAATGTTGTTCATCCTGTATGTACAAAAACAGGATTGGTCCAAATGAGTACCAAACTTGGACATTCTTGTGACTAGGGAAATGCACTGTAAAAATTTTCATTCTAAAATTATGGTAAAATAACTGGCAGCTGTCTGTCCATCCAATTAACCATAAAGTTTATGGTAACGAACATTTTTTTCCTTAATGGTTTTGAAACCATTTACAACTAGCATTTTCAAAAAACGCAAAAAAGAAACATATTATTTAGCTAGACATAGGAGCTCAACTTTTCGGAGGATTGGAGAGTGCCGGATACTGGAAATTCTTCATGCGTTGAAACGAATGAAGAAAATATTGTGGTGTTAACACTAGGACTCGAACTCCAGTTCTGCCGGTCATGAGAGTGACAGATAAGCCCACTCGGCTATGATATATACTCAGTTGCAAAGAACTAAGTAGCTTTATTAGGTGGTTCTAGTTGGTGCGATAAAATTCTGGTTGTTTAACCTTATTAAGTGAAAGCAGTTAATAAACAGTTTTTCTCAAACTTTACAATTTGATTACCATTTTATTTATGGTTATTTGACTGTTGTGAATAAATATGGTAAAATAACCATTCAATAAATTGTTATTTAATCATTTTTTCCGAGAAATTTCTAACAGTGCGCCAAATGGAAAAACTTCGGTGGAAGATGCATAAAATCGCTTTGATGACTTCTAGAAATTTAGAAAAATTCTCCATAATAGATATTTGTTGCTAATTCGATGATAATTAATTTAAATTATTTATTTTTATCCAGGTTCCCCACCTAAACTTCTAGAGGAATTAGTGAGCAGCGAAAAAAATTCGCACGTTTTAAGGGGTCTCAGACCAGGAATGTCGTACTTGGTAAGAGTCATAGCCGAAAACGAATTTGGTTCCAGCAGCCCTTCCGTTCCTTTTCGCTTTTCAACTGCAGAAGATGGTGAGTTGAATCCTGAATTTTCTTTTGTATCAATCTTCTTTTTTCATTGTATTCCGTAATCACTGCTCTCAACTTGCATGCTCTTAGAATCTCTCTATAAAATTAAGTGAAAAATCTATATACAATAGGAGACGCAAAGTAAAATTTAAGCAAAGAAATATTTTTTTTTTGTATCAAAGCCAGACGAATCGTTTGGGAGGAAGGTGGGTTGCTTGTGGTAGGAACTATGAGAACCTTCCAGTTTATCGAGACAATAAAACTGGTTTTGAAGATTTTTATTACAGCTGCATCAATAATTATTTTTCAGATTTTAAAAATGTTTTTGTTAACGTTAACGCTTCCTCACACAAATATTAATTTGTGGCTTCAATTTTGATAAAAACTTTAAGAATATATGCTAATCGGGGGTATCCCATAAGCTAACCAGATCAGCTTCACGCTCTTAAAATTATTGACTAAGGCTGAACCAAATTATATCCTTTAAATTAGCTGTAATCTTAGTAATATGTCAAGTTTAAAGAGTAGGGTAACTTAGAAATTTGTCTTCCGGGGCTTAATACCGTTCAAACCTATTAGATACACTGATTAATTTCAAAAATGCGTTTTTTATTATATTTAATTCATTCAAAAATGAGTATTTATTATAAGACTGTTAAATAGTAGCAAATGAGTATTCCTCTTTCTGAGAAAGTATTTACGATATAATGCGACTAAATTAGTTTTCGTACACATGATAATTAGAATGTAGAGTTGAATAAGCGTCATAAGAGCTAAAAATGATTATTCTGATACAAGTTTAAAAATTCAAAGTGGAGAAATTAAATGGGGTTTTAAAAATGACCCAAAAACATAATAAAAAAAGAAAGAAAGAAACATCATTAGGGTACTGCAAAGCCCGTGTTTACTTAAAAATAAAAATCACTTGCAATTTATTTTCCTCTCTGTTGTTGCAAGAGCATATTAATAAATTTATTTCTAACCGTTAATAAAAAACTGTACTGAGTTCATTTTTATGATAACCATATGGTGTTCAAATAAATTAATTAAAAAAAGGTATAAAAATTTATATTTTTTTATTAAAATTAAAATTATGTTTGAATATTGAGTTTCGGCGTTCTTTGAAGTACGATTGTTTAGGGGTGTCCGCGCTTTAGTTGCAATTCCTAGCCATGAAGAAACAAACTACTTCCAGAAGAAAATTGCGTATTTTTTTAACTTGATTAGATGATTATGTTCAACTGAATATGATGTAACTCAAAACGTTTTGCAGCAAATTTGTACAACATTACGTAAGCTGCAGTAGTGCATATTCCCTTCAAAAAGTTTAAAATATCTAATCTATAAACTAATTTACAATTTTTTTAACTAAATTACGTGATAGTTGGTGGTTTAATGTTTCTAAAAACGAAACAGAGACTTGCTTTTTAATTAAAATTTTTATAATCCTTTAAATACCTCGTCTTCGAAATTTTATATGCAAATTTTATAATGTAGTATGATTTTATCTCCTTCTACAAGTTCAATTTTTATTGCAAATTATTGTAAAACCGTGACAGTGTTTTTTTTTTTTAAATTTATTATGATATATTTCCAAGCTAACTCTTGCAGCTCCTTCAGGATATCCGACCGATCTTAGTGTCTTTTCCAGTGGTCGGCATGAGCTTATAGTCCGATGGAAGGTAAGTTGAACAATTTAAATGAATATTAAATGAAAAGCTCTTTAGCTTATTCTCATTAATTCTCCCCTCCCCCCCCCCAAAAAAAAAAAAACTAAGTTGCGGCTTAAATAACTATTTCATCTTATGACATTAAACAAGTACCTTTAATCATGTGTTGTTTTTTTTTATCAGGCATCATCACCTGATAAAAGGAATAATACTATTCAAAGGTACATAAGCTTGGTCTGCAAAATGATCATTTGCTCCTTGCACATGCAAAGAAACACGTTTAATAACCATCTAACTAAGCAAATTGCAGACCTTAATGTTACTAAGCAATAAATTACATGTTTAATAATCACATTGTTAAGCAATGCTTATAAACCACATCACAAAGCATAACAACTCATATCGTTGTAATAAAATTTTTAAAAAAATACTTGTAGTACTTTCAATTATATGCCTTTTTTGAAAGGCACCAGTACTTGATCGATGGAATAGCTCTATTTAAGGGTATGATCTTGGTTTCCGGAGTCATCATTCTTTTGGTCCTTTGGTTCAAAGAAGCAACTGTAATACTATACATTTAAGCAAATTAAAGCTTACGCAAATTACGCGTTTAGTAACCACATTATTAAGCAAATTACAAAAACTTACAAATCACACCACAAAGCTCAGCAACGCATAATGTTTTAATTTAATTTTAGAGAGATCATTATTAGTATTCTCAATTTTGTTTCCTTTTTTTCTTCACCAGGCACCAGCACCTGATCAACGGAATGGTGCTATTCAAGGATATGAACTTGGTTACCGAAGTCATCATTCCTTTGGCCCCTACATTTTCAAAGAGGCACGTCTAGGTCCCGGAATGTTGCAAGAGTATGTGCTGGATGATCTACAGGAGGAAACTGAATACGAAGTTGTCATCAGAGCCTATAACAGTGCTGGCAAAGGACCAATATCGATGCCGGTGATAGGAAAAACGAAAGAAAAAGGTATTGCTCTTAAAGTTATTTAACTTTGCGATTTAAGAGATGGAATTAGCATCATTTTGAACAATTCAATTAAATAATAATTTCTCGGTAACTACACCATGAATAAATTGCGATGGAGTGCGGTCAATATGTCAACGTGCCTCGGCAAGAATGAGTTCACTACTAACTATAGCTTCCAATTTTTTAAAATGCTTCAGTTCTAAGTCGAAATTGCAGTTTTTGATTGTAGATCAGTGCGTGCAGCGCCATCTTCTGTTGGCAGTTCCACTCTTATAAGGAAAGGCATCATACATTTTTATAAATTTTGGGAGCAATATCAATAGCTTGTTGTGTCAATGCTTTATAATCATATTGTTGTAATATAATTATATTATTATTATATTGCGTATTGTTCCTTGTAGCAATGTCACTACAATGTGCTGAAGTTATTTCGAAATTTCAATTATTTTATATAACGTAATTTTGCAATTACTAGTCGAAACGTTGTCTATGGCTACCAAAAATAACAATATTTAACGAAATTTCACATGTAATACTATATTGAAATTAATTTTAATGTGATGTTTTCTTTTCTTCTAGAAAATTCACAATGGTGAGAAAATTGTTATATTTTTAATGAATAATTATATTTTCTGAAGTATACTTTGGTATTATTTTCACGAACATCAAAATTAAGCATTGTTTAAAATCCAACATAAATTATACTTCGATAATCTTGTACCTTTAAAGTACAGGTGCTGGAGCGTTTGTCGCTCATATTGCCCCTATCATGTCGTTGATCGCAATATTGTGGAGGCTTAGCTAACAGCTAACTGATGTAACAGCTGTTTGCAACAGCCATAAAGGTATCTTGATGGTTATTAGTGAGATTTTGTAAAGCGTTACCGTTTTCACCTTATTCTAAATTTTTTTAGCTTGTCGGCGTATGAGCAGAAAATTCGCTTAAAATCGCAGTGCCACTAAGAGTAGAAAAAAAGATTAGCTTTATGGTTGACACAAGACAACCGCTATGTAAAATCCCTCTATTTTTTAATTTATTTATTTATATATTTATTTATGTACTTATTTATTTATTTATTTATTCATCGCAGTTGGTTTGTTGTCGGCCTTCTGAGCCCAAGTCTGCGGGTTCGATCCCCGGCCCAGACACCGGATTCCTCAGCGGCAGAAAATCCTCAGCGGCCATGTCGTATGATTATGCAGCATGTAAAAGATCCCTGGAGTGCCTTATTGGCTCTTGGCATTTCCGGCAAAANATTTATTCAAAAGCTATGACTAATTCATTGGGAAATTTATATAAATGTTTGTAATAAATAAGAGAAAATTATATTTTTATTTATTTAGAAGCGACGGGTTAGTTTCAAAGGAGGACGGGTACATTGTTGGACAAGCCGTCCTTGGGGACGGGTAAAATTTCTGAGTTTTTTCGAGTCCTGCTATGGCTACCAAAAAATAACAGTATTTAACGAAATTTCACATTTAATGCTATGTTGAAATTAATTTTCAAAGATGATCACAATTATTTTGCAATTTGTTAATTTAGCAATACAGTACATCTATAACAATACAGTACATCTGTAGCAATACCGTGCATCTGTACAATACAGTACATCTACAACTCTATTTTTGTGTTGTTTGTTTCTGCACGTGCAATAAAATAATTCGAACGCTCAAAAAATAAGGTGATTCAAAAAAGGAAGAAAAAAAACGAAATAATATTTATTACTGTTTGACCGATTCTTAACACTGTCAATATCATCAGAAACAGAGTCAAAAAATTTAATGTGATGTTTTTTTTTTTCTTCTAGAAAATTCACAATGGTGAGAAAATTATTATATTTTCAATGAATAGTTATATTCTCTAAGTATACTTTGGTGTTATTTTCATGAACAATATAACATCAAAATTAAACATTGTTTAAAATCCAACATAAATTGCACTTCTATAATCTTGTACCTTTGAATAGCTGTTGGAGTGTTTGCCGCTCATATTGGCCCTATCATGTCGTTGATCGCAATATTGTGGAGGCTTAGCAAACAGCTGTCTGTTGTAACAGCTGTTTGCAACAGCCATAAAGGTATCTTGATGGTTATTAGTGAAATTTTGTAAAGTGTTGCCATTTTCACCTTATTCTAAATTTTTTTGAGCTTGACGGCGTATGAGCGAAAAATTCGCTACAAATCGCAGTGCCACTAAGACTAGAAAGAAAGATTAGCGTTAAGGTTGACACAAGACAAGGGCTATGTAAAATCTCTCTATTTTTTTAGTTACTTATATATTTATTTATTTATTCATTTTTTATAACATACTAAAATTTATGGCTTGTAATTTTAAAGTTGTATTTGTGCAGCGTAGTAGAAAAATTTTTTTTAAAGTAATTTTAGATCCTTTTTATAAAAACGAAAGAAAACTACGAATACTTAAACTAATTAATTTTTTTAAATTAAGTCTAGTTTTCTTGAAATTTACTTAAATGCTCCTCCGTTTTTATTTTAATTTCAGGAAATCTAGTTCCTCCCGTACTTTGGATAGAATCGAGTTCGGCGACAGCGATTACTCTAAAATGGTCTGGTAATGAGGATATCAGAAAAAGTGATTTGCGTAAGAAACCATTTTGATTAATTTTATTTATGTTTTATTTTATTTTATGAATTTAATAAGACATGAAGTAATATTTCAGGAATTCAATCCGATTTTAATTAGTTTTGGTACAAATTTGAGAGTTTTATTTTTTTACTGTTTATTGATGTTTAGATTTGAATGCCACAACGTTAATTGATATGACTATGTGAACTTTGTAGGACCGATGTAAGTTTCCTGTTTTAGATAAATCGCGTCCCAGGAATACCTAACAGACTTTCGGCTGTCTGATGCTTCATCCTGCTTGTTTATAACCATTAGCAATTTTTTAAAATATTTATCGTTAGGTTTAATCACTAATCATACATTTGTATTAAGAGTATTTTGTTAATAATTATTGAGTTTAACACTATTCCTCAGTAATTATCTAAATTACTAATCGTTAGAGTTATTAATCACTGCTCTTTAATTAGAGTAACTAATTATTAAATAGACTAACGCTTGATATAATTGTACAATTGACAAAAAGAAGGAAAACCCCGTAGGAAAACCGAGTGATTCCTAATGTACTGGACTGTTTCATGGTTCAAGTTAAACAATTAAGTCTAATAATTATGTATTGGTAAATAATAAGTAGGGTGACCTGGGGTAATTCCTGTTCAAAAAATGCAAACATCTATTTTGTGAAAAAACTATTCAAAATAGAATTTTAATATTTACTGGAAGTTTGAGGCTATATGAGATGAATCCCATGCTACCTTCTTTTGTTTTAAAATTTAATTAGAATTTAAAAGATTTTAAATTTTTAGTGATCAGCAATGATCTAACAATGTACACACATAAAATTAAGAAAGAAGCAAGGTAAGACAAACCAGAAATGGCGTAAATCAGAAAACATTTGTCTTGTATACAGTTAAAAACAAATTTTGTGATTACAGCTAAAGTATATTTTATAGTTGTTGCACTTAATAAATATGTACTGTTATTTAAGAAAAGACAATTAGCTATTTATTAGCTATTTTTAATACTATTCATAAAAAGAAATGGCAATGATCAGGAATTACCCCAGTGATCAATAATTACCCCATCTGTAGGGGACAACATTTGATATAGTTACCTGTAATCATTTATAATGTTTACAGAATGTGTGAAACAATTGAACAAAAGCTTACACTATTTTCATATTAAAGAGAAGGAAAGTAACTCAAAATATTTATTATTAAGAGAAAGAGGAGGATCTTTGCAGAAATGTGCACATTTCGAAACCCTTCTTTGAAATGGAAAATACAGAGAGCAGTTTAAAAGATACTTATTTTGTTAGATTAAACAAAAAACTATTATTAACTAAATGTAGTTNAACTGGCTTCAGTGGTACATGTTACTGCCATCTACCGGCAACTGCTTAAATTAAAACTTGAATACTTTCGGATTAATTTCATATGTTCTTTATTACCATATTCGTCTTCGTTTTTTTACTATAACTCTTCGAAACCCCGGAGTGAATTATGAATAACCCTGCAGTTTAAAAAATCGAATCTAAAAGCATGGTTTTTGAAGTTTTTTAAAGAGGTTTTTGTTTAGAGCATATGAAACTTAGTTATTTATTTAAAATAATAAGACATAAATGTTTAACGTTAATAAAATAAAATCTTTCGAAGCGAAACCTTTCGTAATATAAATAATATCTGCCATTGACCGTCTGTGACAATCTAAAAACATTTTATAACACGCAAGTAATTTGTGTACTTAGAATAGCTATACTTACTTCATACGTGATGTGGAAGTTAATAGCTTCGAAAACGCGGCTGGCTTGACTCATATCTTGGAATATTTCCACTTCTAAGAATAAATCGATCGAATGCCAATTACAGCTTTGGGTGCGACAAGTCACAATGAAAATGATTTAATGTCTTAGAATCTGAGGATTAATATATAGATGCTAAGTAATTTGAAAATGAATTTTTAGGCTTGAGATATAAACTTAATTATCATATTGGTAATTAAAAAAATATTTTCAATGAATTTTGTATATTCTAATGTACATGTTTTAACCAATTGTAAAAATATTGTAAATGTGAAACCAAAATGGATATAAAGGAGATATATTTCTCCTTGTTCTACAACTAAGGACTTAGTTCATCCATCTTTTTATTTCTTAAATATTTCAATTGCATGAAAGCGGTGTAAATTTATAAAATTTTCATATCAAATTGATGCCTGCTTTCTTCACAGAATTTGTGGCATTACAATTTTACTTTGAAATTCACCTAACTGTCAAAACAAATTATTATACCACAGAAAATTAATTAAAAATACTGAGAAATATATTATACTTATTTAACATTAACTTTTCTTAAACCATTAATTTAATTCATTTGAAAATATAACTGAAATGATTGTGAATTGAATGACACTAAGTTAAAAAAAAACATGCTGAGCCAAGCCATGGGCTCTATAGAATCATATTAGTAACTGAATAAAACAGATTCAATTTATATAACGCTTTAATTACATCAAAAAGTAAAATAAAAATGCTATATATAGCGTTAACCATTTTAAGGTAAGCATAGTAATTTTATAAAATGTGACACTATTTTCATTGAATTATGTTGAAATTACATTAAGACTCAAAAAAATTTCGTGCAAGAAAAATATTATATTTAAGAAACAAAATGGTGCGTATATACACCAATCAATAAACAAACGGCCAAATCAATAAACAAATCATATAATTGAACACTAATTTCTCATGACATTTGTTTTATTTCTATTTTATTTACAGAATTCGTAACTAACTTTAATCCAACATAAAAGCATATGATTGATCTTAAATAGAATAATTGTAAATTTTCAAAAGTTGAATTTGTCAATAACCGTTTCAAGTTGCTTTTTTACGAAAAGAAAAAAAAATTACCGCAGTTTGAAGATTTTTTACCAGAAAGTGTTTACTCTAATTTTCTACAAATATTTTTATAAACGTCTTCAGAACCTTTAAAAATAGCCGAAAAATAAAATTAGTGACAAATATAAGTCACAGTGTTAATAAAAAAAAACATTTATTGAAATGGTGTGTTTACGCACCTTTGGCCGAAAATGAATTAATTGAAAGTAGATAGACAATAAATACACCAATAGCGCAGCATATATTGCAAGCAATAGAGCCGATAGCACAACATGCTTAACATGTTTAAGGGAACAACTACACAATAACGCACGTAGTAGAATAATGAGGTTCATTCAACCAATCTTACAAGCATATGTCTGTTGAGGATTAAAATGTGATAAATTGTATTACGATGAGAGAAAGGTACCCTAAAATCAAATTATTGTGCGTCAGCAGAATAAGAGCGATTTGAAAACGTAATGAGATAAATCAGCTAGGAACCTTAAATCGAAGTTGGTTACTAAATTTTAAAGCTAGGTTCACAGAGCTTTGCCTTCTTCTTGGACTGATGTGTCAAGTTCTTACATTTCCTAAATCAACACTAGTAAAAGCGTGCATTAATTATTGCATGTTTAATGTCAACTTGATTAAGCGAAAGGAGACAAAAGACCGAACGGAGAAATGGGAAACAACTATGTAATACGAAATTAAAAACCGAAATATGTAGAACAAAGAAATAAGATCGCAAAGGTAGATCGAGAGCGTAAAAATAATATTTACAAGAAAAATAAACCTTCGGATAATGTATTTAATATAGATCGTGCTATTGTTATTCGAATTTAAATTTGAAACAAAAAAAAATTGCCAACTAATATCTGCTAACGCAATTTTTGATAACCTGTGTGTAACAGAAATCGCTTATAATATGCATTTACACCTTAAAATAATGACTTAGTTAAATCAATGCCAACTTGATTCATCTATTCTTCGATTTTTCAATATTAAAATCTATATCTACATAAATATTTAGAATTTATCCATCGTTTCGTTTAGTAGAAAATATTTGAATTTATCCATCATTTCAGGCTATTCTTTGCACTATAGAGCTGAAGGCAAAAAATGGGAAGAAAGATTCATTCCAAGTTCTCATACTGGACCTTATGTACTCTCAGATCTGGAGGAAAACACTCTCTATTATCTTTACTTGCAAGCGATCTGTGGCAATGAACAGAGCAATCCTTCGATGACAGTGAGCGTTAGAACGTCTGGTAAGAATTTATTTCTGTGTATAATAACTTGAAGACTCTGATTAACTTTCAGTCATTCATTCCATCTGGGATATCCAATACATAATTCCATTTAAAGGAAAGTTACTCATGCAAAATTCACACTCATTTCAATGTCAAAATTCAATGTCAATCCAGAAAAGCACAGCCAGGATCATTTTTGTTACACAGGCTGTCTCAGGATTATTGGGACAAACTTTAAGGGGAGGTAAGGGACAGCATAAGTATTCACAGAATTGCATAACAACCCATGGACGGAAGCATCATGGGGAAGTAGTATGACAGGTACAAAAAGCAAAGAGACACAAGACCGAGATCATCTGAAATATTTATTAATCAAATATTGCATGTGCTGTGGTGGATGATTTGTGAAAATGTTACAAAAGATGTTCAAAGTTTTTACCATAGCTAGAGATGTATGCGTTACACCGTCGGGCCATGGTTTGATGGATTTGCTCAAATATACCTGGATTTTGTTGTATATCTTCAACAGTACAAACGATTCCTGCAACCATTTCGAATTCCGTGTGTTGCTTGCACGGCATTTTTCAGTAATTCCAATAAATGAAATCCATGCTGCTTAAATCACAAGAGCGTAATGGAGATCTTGGTAGTAGAGATCTTAGGATGCCTCCAACCTTCCCTTAAAGTTTGCCTCAATAATCCTGGGACACCCTGTATATCTTATCCATTCACTTTAATTTCAAGTTCACACTTATATGTTTTACCCATTTAAGCAAATATCTTAAAAGATTTAGTGGCTGATTATAGTTTCTTTTAAGAAGCATTTATGTTTCCAAGTGCCTTTTGTGTATTATAAAATTCCACTTTGGATGAAGATTATCCTCGTTGATACACCCAGAAAAACCGTCTTAGAGTTTGTAGTTGGGTTTAAAAAGAATCTAATGGAATTTGTAAAACGAAACCAATGCAATATTTTTGTGAAAAATCTTAATTTAAAAGAAATTATTAACATTTCTTAATAGGTAGATTCTTTTTGCTACGTATTTTCAATTAAAAAGCTTGGGGTACTTTTAAGTATACATAATACAATAAGCCAAATAATTTCATGAAGGGGATATTTTAACATCGAACTGTACTCTAACCAAATAAGCAAATAAATAAGTTCGTAAGAAGGTTTCGGATTTTTCACTAGAAAGCTGGACAATACGCAGAAAGATCTCAGTGTGTCTGCATCGAAATCCAAGGTTTTTTTTTCTTCACTAAAAACGCTGTTTTGAATAATTTGAAAGTAGGGTTTATTATTATATTACCCCAAAACCTGCCATTATTTCAATCAGATAGTTTTCTACTCTCGATTTCATTTCTCCGCTTTTAGATCAATATCATTTAAGTATGTTAAGACATTAGAATTTGAGGACAGCAGTATCAAACATAGGTTCATTTTAAGAAGTAAAATATGAAAAACTTTTAAAAGCATTAATATAATGTCTAAATTTATGTCTAAAAGGTAAAATTTTTAATAGTTCATCTTAGTCTATGCTCATTTATTTGAGCATAGCAAATAATATGAAAATTCGCAAAAAAAAATTGTACACCTCTTAGTTGTTTCTAAGGTTCAATTTTTCTTCTTCTTAATTTCAGATCCAAGTTTTGAGCGTTCCTCGATGACGCAGATGCAAGAAGTATCCCACCAAACCACATTGGTCATATCTCTTAGTGTAGTCATATCCTGTGTTGTCATTGTATGTGTAATAGCTGGAGCATGCGTGTATGTAACACGTGTCACTAGTCACAGCAGTCTAAAAAGAGATGGACATGCTTTGAGTGGTAATTCATTGAATAATAAATTCACTGTATACATAATGCATATTATAGCCAATTTTTTTCTTAAATTACCATGAAAATGAAGGTACTCTAAGATTTTAAAAAATCATTTTGATGGCTTCTGAACACTTTTTTGCCTGTTATATTTCAGTAATTTTAGTCGTAATGCAAAAAACCCAAGTTGGTTAAATCAACGAACCAAAAGGTGAAGGTTCTCTAAGATTTTAACAAAAAAAAAATCTTTTTAAACGTTTCTCAGCGCTTTTTTACCCGTTACATTTAGGTAATTTTAATTATTACCACTGTATGCTTTTCTGCAATGAATAATGTTTGACGTCATCAAAATTTAACTAGCACACGCTTTCTTCAAATTGATTAACTACTATTCAGCTTCTCTTACTGAAATCTTATAATAATGTCATAACTACACTGAGGATAACTTCGAAATAACGAATGGTGGTGATGCGTTTGTTTAGCTTTCTTTTTATAAATAACGCATTTAAAGGTGAAATTAATAGCATTTATTAATTATTTGTGACATAAATAATGATTATAATCGTCTATTAACTGTTACGCAAGCAATAGAACTTTTGCCATCTAAACAATGAAAAAAATCAAAATAATTGGCAGTAAAAGTGGTTAATATATGTTATACAGAGCTATTCAAAACGTTAGACAAAATTTATTTAATTTGTATTTTATGAAATATAACTTGGATATAACCAGTCTGCAAACTGAAAGAACGAGAAAATTTCGAAGATTTGTTTACTAACGCTTGGGCGTTGATAATCGCGTTAACGGCCACTAGGGCAGTGATAGCGTAAACTATTGCATAAGAACCCTGTGGTCTTGAGTCTCATCTTAATTTTAATTTTACGCAAATTCTTTTTTTCTTTCAGAATTATTAGTATTTTTTTAGTTTTTATGCCAGATTGTCACTGCTGTTATATCACTAGTTCCTATGAAACTACGAAACCATTGCGAACTTTTACGGCATAACACGGCTATTTCATTTTCATGTTGGTAACCATTTAGAGTCAAAAGGGACTGCATTGAACCTGAGTTAAAAAAAATTATTTTTATTGTTATTTAGGTTGCTCTTAATAAATTTATACCTCACTAAATACTATTCATTAAACTAAATTCAACATTTTGAACAACTCCGTATATTACTATAGTTACGGATTTATAAATATGTGTATAATTTTGTGGTTATTCTTTTGTTATGAGGTTAAATACCTCAGAACGACTCCAGATAAACAGTTCAATTAGAAAATTTGCAAGAAAGTCGTGTAATTCTAATGTTAATCAAAGAGAAATTAACTTCTTACGTATTTCTTATGGAAAACTCAATTGGGCGATATTTTTGCCGACTTCTCAATAATATTGGCGACTTGCTCAGCACGCTATTATGTAGCTACTGGCTCGATTAATTTAGAATTGGCCATTTTTAGATTTGAGCTGCTGAACTTTCTTATCTTAAATCTTCACAACCAGAACATGAATATTTGCCATATGGACTTAAAACATGAAAAGCAACACAAGCTTTCATTTTTCTTTTCAGATTTTGCAGAGCAACCTTCAACCTCAAGAAGTACGCCCCTGTCTAGACACACATCTAACTTTCGCTACGTGGACGTGAATTCTCGTCCTCTTTTGTGGTGTTCGACACCTGCTCCACCAAATGACTATCCTTCACCATATGCGACGTTACCTCTGAGGCCCACACCCATTTCCAAGAGGTGGCACAGTGAAGATGGAATGTCCCCTGCAATTTCAGAAAGAAGCGAATCCCTCATTAACCAAGTGAGTAGTTACATATTTGTTTTTCCTAATATGCACTAATATACTATCCTAATAATCCTATCCTATAAATAACTATCCTATATAATATCCTAATATACTATTAAGGATGCCAAGTTACCAGTTACTGAATTAAATCCTGCAAAAATTCTTCAGCAACAGGATTTTTTTTCAAAATATTATCTTAATGCAAGAATAGAGTATCCAATTTCAGTATGATGACTTGCATTTTCTCCAAATCAAATCTCAACGAATGTTCAGAATTCAATCTTTTTTTTTCTCTTAATATTATTACACTGTTTGAAACTTCGGAATGAGTTGAAGAGGCGATATCTCTTAAATTTGCTGCAACCCTAATATGGAACCAAGTTCAACATCATTATATATCCTTCTAACTCTGTTACACAATACTACAGCTCAACTTGAACAGAGACTTGATTCAAATTGGCAATTTACTAGGGCTGCAGTTACTTTTTACTGTATTATGGTGTTAACGCTTAATAAGATATACTCAATTCTAAGAAATAAAGTTAACACCCGCCATGAGTGGGTGGTAGTGGCGTTCATCACGCGCCACGGGAAATAACAGTGCATTCTCGTTCTCTCTCTGCACAGAGAATCACGTGGGTCAACCGCTCCACTCCAGTCCGCCAAAGACGCTTTGTTGTTTCTTATATTAAATATAAAAAAAATTTTGAATCTTACAGTCCACTGCTGCAGTCATTTTGCAACACACACATAAAACTCCCTCCATATGGTTCAAAGTGAGAAATTGAATCAGTTTTTAAGAGTGTATTTATTTCACAGTTTTAGCTCCAAATAGAATTAATATTGAATTTTCAAATGGTTTCTATTTGACACTTTTTTGATTAAAAAACTTTTTGTAACATTTAATGTTGACTGTAAAAAAAAACTGTTACATTACAAAGTAAAGCAGATTCGACCTTACTTACGAAGTTAAGCCTACCTTACAATTTAATTTGTTACATCTAGCATTTCAATTTATTATATCTAATAAATCTTCTTTCATATGAACATACCTTTTATCATCTATATAACACATAGATATCACGATAATACACAGATTTGTAGAACCACAGGTTCCATGAATATGAGAATAAAACTACACCCTGATAAATTTCTCTCTTTTATTTCTTTTAAATTTAGTTGTTAGTCATAACTATTGTTATAAACTGTCATATTGCTATTAACTGTCATAGCTATTGTTTATAAATAATTCTAGTTCATAAATTTCAGTACTTAGTATTGCTTAAAATTTGTGCAATTATATCTGAATCCAGCTCTTTCACCACTAAACTCAAACCAACCAACCTATCGTTAGCTTAAAAATTTAGCATTTTTATCTTAAACGAAATAATTGTATTACATAATATGTAATAACTAATAGAGACTTACTTTATTTTTAATAGAGAGTTGAACTAAACGAAGACAAAATGTCAAACAGTAAGGAATGAACTTGTGAGGGAAAATTAAAACTTTTGAAAGGATCTCAACTTAAAGTGGATTGTAAAAAAATTAGTCTCTGAATGAAGTACAAAGTAATTTTGAAGATATTTGGAATCCAAGGCGAAAATAATTCAGCTGTTTTAGATGAGTGTTATCGATAAAAGACGACACGAATATACGTGGAATTTTCAATAACAACTTTTTACGTTATTTTATGTAAATATACTGTTGTTTAAATGCTATAAGAAAAACTCACCATTGTTTTTCTTCGAAATAACAAATGGTAAAGACACATCGATTTGTAAAAAAAAGCGTTGTTAGTAACTTTTTCAAATTGATTACGCCCTGTATTTTCTTAATGCATTAAAACGAATTATTTAGCGTAATTGATTATCGATTAACTCATAACAACAGAAGAAGGCAGTCTTTGTGTTTATGCTTTGGTATGTGACTGTCTTCAAGTATAGCAATGGATACAATGGTGCTAGATCAACTGACCAAGTTGCCATTCTCATTTTTATGCAGAGAGTTTAAGTCTACCTATGCTTAGTAACTACGAGTAAAAAGCACCGAAAATAAAACTATAATGTGTGGAAGCCATTCATTTCAAACTGGGTTGATATGACTGATCCATTATTGCATTTACAACCTCAACTGTATTTTTTGAAACTGTGAACAGTTCAGAAAAAGTTTATCTAACTGAAAATATATTTTTGTCATATAATAAAAATAAAGATTGCTATTAAAGAGGTTTATAAATGAATAAGTTGTACAGTTGTAAATTTTGTGTAGCTATATTGTTATAAAGACATTTCCTTGAAAGAAAAATTATTGTGAAATGTAGTCTTTTTAACTACTTATTTCTTTTTTATAATCAGTCAAACGTGATGGTTACTTTACTTTCTTGAGTTTTATGTGTACTACGTTACTTCTCTTAATTACGAATTTCTATGCATTAAAGGTATTAAAAAAATAGCTATTAAATGATTTGCTTAATGTATTATTCATAAGTGCATTACTGATAATAGTTTATTTTGTGAGAAAAATTAACTAATTATTGCAAATAGTTACTGCAGATTGTTTTCTGTTGTGAAATGCGTTTTTCATTTTATAATGTTGTTTTCTATATTTGTTCATTGCTTAATCATCTCAGTTTAAAAAACTGATAATAATTTTGTATTTAAGATTATTTCATAATACAATAAATAAACACAATTTTTAAGCAACAGTCGCAAAATAGGTAATAGTTTTTATTCAATAATGTATAGATAGGTTGTTAAAATCACTTTCAAAGACGGATATAAGTATTACTGTGGAACCATATTCGCGGAACTATAGATTCCACGAATCTGATCCAGGAATGCTGCTCCAACTGTGAGTGGAGGAATGCTGCTCCAACTCTTATTCTGCATTAAATTATCTGTTGTAAATATCAACTCCAAAGTGACAGTTTTTAATCATTTTTGAGACTTTATATTGAATTTTAGGACCCTAAGTGTTTTGCTCATATTATTGAGAAAAAAAGTTTTTTTCTAGAATTAAATTTTAAAAGAAAACTGCTTAACATTATTTATTTATCTTTAAATTCCTTCCTTCAAATTTTTAAATTAAATTTTCCTATTTGATCTGCACAGCATTGATAAGCCTTAATGCTTAGTTTTGCATTTAAAGTTAATTTTAACGATCATCTAAAATTATGAATTAAATCTTATTTTCTAGTAGCTATTTTCCTGCAAAATTCCAATTGTAGCTATTCTATCCTACTTAATCTTTTATTTATGTTTTGTGTTACGTAAGAAAACAAACTATGTTGTTTTTGTATCTGCATTTTGTATAGAAATTTACTTTAAAACAGAAATATATTTTTTAATAAATGTCGACCGTATAGTTATCATTGTATAATGTTATCTCTGTAAATAAAGCATTGTATTTTTTTTACGTAGATGTTATGTTTTATTATTTAATTAATTAAAAATTCACGGGTTCAAAAATTTTATTTATTAAATTTTACTTATCTGTAACAACTTTTCGTGAGCATCACTATGCAAAATTTTCTTCGAATTGAATATGGCTGAATTAAAAAGCCTTGTCCTGTTCGCTGCCGGTTTCGAGTCAGCCTGTGATAGACCCTGTATAACACCGCCAGAGCATTCCGCCCTGACGCAAGATCAGAAACTAACGTGTTAAAGAAAGCATCAATGAAAAACAAATATTTAATAATATCAGTTTTAAATTACTTTATTTTCTAGAGATTGTTCATAACTTGATTAAGTATTTCATTGAACTAACTGTTTACTGTTGTAATAAATAGAAGAATTTATAATGTATAGAGCTCTGTAATTATGCATACAATTGTACATACAATTGTACATACAATTGTACTAAATATGTTTCGATTAAACTAAAATGATTTAATGACTTTGCATGTGAAGATTTTAAGTGAAAATTTAGTGAATTTACGTAAAATAGCTTTGAAGTTTATAGTTTGACAATAGGAACTTAGATTATGTTTTATGTTTACTTTTAAGCATCTAATTGACGAAATCTAAACTCCCTTAAAATGTTCGGGTCATAACATTTGCATTCTTGGTATCTAAGTTTGTTGTCATAAAGGAAGCTTTCTAAGGTTACATGTCGACTGTTTGTTGCCAGATGCTCTTGGAACTTTCTTTCACTCCAAAAACACTTGCAGATTGTCACTGCCATCTTAGTGCCTGCATCTACTGATATAAATTAGATTCAAAAACTTGACGTGATGAATTAGTATTGTTTAGTTAAATAGGAATAAAATACGATCTTTTTACAAAAAATAAATAAATACATAAAATTTAGAGAAAAAAAACCAATATTTTTAATAAATGACGCTTAGTACCCTTTTCCACATTTTAAAAATCTCAAATTATCTGAAGTATTCAAAAACTCGATTTGAATAAAACTTTCTGAACATTTTGATACTAAAATCAAAATTCGTTGCTTCATAAAAATCAATAATTTATTTGCAGATAAAGATTTAATGCACTAGAAAAAGTATTACTCGTACTACTTATTTTATACTATAAAACCAACATTTTTATTGCACTTTATATATATATTTTTAATAAAATGTGATATTTGCATTGATAAAATTAATACTCACCACCTTAAAAAACAATTCAAATCATCCTAAATGAAACAACATAGAATTCATTTATATCAAAATCACTAGCTCCTCATACGATTTACTTTCTCCATATAAGGACGGGTTCCACGATCCCAAAATCTTCTTACTAGTTCTTTTGCTTCTTTTAATATTCGTTTTGTCAAAAGATTTAGTTTGTTGTAGTCGAAGTTTTACTGCACATTCGGCAATCGTGAAATTAAATCATACAGTTAATGAGACAAACTTATGCTGTACAGTATTCAATTTTTACCTCTACTTATCTACTTTGAGAATAATACAATCTTTGGTATTTTTCATTTAATAACGCCGGTGAAACAGAATACAAGTGAAAACGTCGTTCATATCGACTTTTTAGTGCAAAGTTTTCCAGTTGAAGTTCGTCTCGCTTGAAGCGTTAAATTTGAAGCTTATAATGCAAAGTACTATAATACTTTTCCATTTTATAAACATTACACTCCTCTGATATTTTTTTATAATTAACAATGATGAAGCTTACCATAAGTGCAAAGGTTGTTCTGATTTTGCTTTATTTTTATAATTAACAATGATGAATCTAAACATAAGTGTTGAGATTGTTTGTTGATGAATCTAAACAAAGATTGTTTGTTGATGAATCTAAACAAAGATTGTTTGTTGATAAATCTAAATAAAGATTGCTTGTTGATAAAATTTTTAGGGCAAAGCGCTCAAAGTTTGAATTATTGAAGTTTGTTCAGCACGAAGTGTTAAATGTCAAACTCACAGAATACCATTTAATTCAAATGTCAAGGTACTACACAACTTAATCTAAAACGAAGTGATAGATGCATTTCCCAAATGCAAAAAGGTGTTTTAATTTATTTTACCTAATTAGCATTTTATGTTAGGCCATTGATTTGAAAACATGACCTAAAATCAATAAAATGATTACTTTTACACATCATCGAAAATCTATATGGAGCATGTGTTTTCCTATTGTCTCTCAAATATTTGTTGAATAGCGTATAAAAACCATTTATGTGTCTATACGAACTCCCGCAGCGAAATTTTAAGATGGAAAATCAATTACGCTAATGCAATTTGATTATTCTGCCTTTAATAATCTAAGTTTAACACATCTTAGTGAACAAATATTGATCACATAAAAAAGCCATTTTCATGTGAAATTTTTATTTANTTTTTTTGCAACTTTTTCATACTTTCTATACCCAACCTTAACAGGGCAATAGCCGATACAGTTCATGTGCCATTAAACTCTACATTTAATCCATTTAAATTTATTTCAAAAGTAGAAAATGTTCCTGCGAAACAATTAATAAGTCAGATATGTTTCAAAATTCTATCACAGCTAGTGAAATGTTGGAGGATATGGTAGATTCGTTTTTTTATTTTCAACAACATCGTAACAGGCAAGCTTAAACATTAAAAAAAGGAAATTTTCTTTTCAATTTTTAAACAAAATGACGTAAGCTGGTTTGGTATTCTTTGTGTAAGCATTATAAAATGATGCATCTTACCTTTAACTTTGCTTGAAATAGAAATAGCATATAAAGCGAAGGTGTCTTAATTTAAAAAAATATATTTAAAACTAATGAAAAATTATACAAAATCTATCTGTATATTTTTGGTCAGAGAGGCATCGTCATAGAAATATAAATTTAAGCAAGTTTAAATTTAAATTGGAATTTTACTGCTAAAATTTCAATACAAGTTGATGCATGAACAAGCTTGGGCTTAAAGTTCAATCCACTCATTCGTCAATCTGCATAATAACCTGGTTTAGTACATGTTTAGTGTACTTGTAACCTTCTTTCTTTTAAATATTTCTTTTAATATATTTCTGGTCTTTGAAATATTGTAAAATTTATTACTGCATTCATGCACAATAATATTGTCCGGTAAATTAATAATAAATTAATGTTGATTGAATTTTAGCAATAAAAAAAACATTTTGAAAACTAAACTAGATCATTATAAAATTTCGTCGTTTATCGTTTACTAAGCTCCATCACAACGGCGTATGATATGGTAGGGAGAGAAGATAATGGTAAATATTTTTCCTCATATTGCAATACTTTAATAAGCATTTAAAATACAACTAGAAGTTTTTTGTTCTTTTGCAGCTCACACAAGATTTATTCCGGCAAGGCATTTTTCTTCATAGAAATAAAGTGTATAATATAATAATGTGTATAATATATAAAGTGTAAAATATAAATGTGTACAGTGAGCAAAATGAAAACGGTCCACTCTGAATAACTTATGATCTTCCCATTCTAAGACTCAGTCTTAATGGTTGGAGTGACATCAAAGGGGGGTGACATCAAATATGCTTATTAATTACTGCAGACGATATTTAAAATAACAAAATCAAAGGTAAAAACGTTCTGGCATCTGGATTTTGTACATTTAACGCAGCATTTTGGACCATACTGTGGGACATACTCTGGATAACATATCTTTTTTTCGATGGATTCGGATTTTTGATCCTCAAAATATACCACAATCTGGGAAAGAAAGTCAGGAAAGCTGTCCAAAGTTTGAACCCCTTAATGTTAATTTTACTTTTTTGCGTATTTTTCCATATCTCGAGAACTTTTCAAGTGAATTTAGAAATTTTTACGCACAATTTTAAAATTTGTTTATCCTAAGATAATTCCATGCTAAAAATAACTTTTAGTAAGTATTTATTATTTTTAATAATTTTATTTATTAATAGTTGAACAAATTTTGAATTGTAAGGTATATAATTTTCCCCATCATTAAAAAGAACGTAATTTTACGATTCCAAAGTGCAAAATTAGAGCAAAATCGGTCGATTAGTTTCTGAGAAATTGAATTTTAAATGTATGATTTCTCAGGAACTGTTTGACTGATTTCATTCGAAATTTGTATTTTGAAAACAATTTGTAAATAAAATAGTTAAAAACAATAAATATTTACTAAAATGTATTTTTTTTTTCGTTGAATTATCTCGGTATTAGTAAATTATTGTGTGTAAACATTTATTCAATTAATATAATTGTGTATAAACATTTTCCGATTCGCTTAAAAACTTTTAGAAGTATGCGAAATACGCAAAAAAATAAAATTAACATTAAGGGGTCCAAACTTCGGACCGCTGTCCTGACTAAACTATTTGGACAATCTCTCCCAGATTGCGCCTACCCCTTACATTTTCAAGAGCAGAAATCCACATGAGGTGAAAAATAAGCATGTTTATCCAGAGAAAGTGAGTTTTTGTGTCTAATTTGGCAAGTTAAAATATCGTCAGAACTAATTAATTAGCATATTGAAGTTACTCCATCGAAACATTAGGATTGATTCCGAGAACGTGAAGATGCATTCATTAGATAAAAAGTTATTCAGAGTGGTCCGTTTTTCTCTCTTTTTTTCTTTCATTCTTTTTTTTTCTTCTTTTTTTTTATTGCATACTGTACATTAACAAGAAAATTAAGAGCAAAGCATCGCAAAAATTACTTCAGTGTCAAATTATATTTCCTATTTTAAAATTAATTTTGCTTTAAATCAAATTTGTTACCTGTTTTTCATTGCTATATCTTATTGAGCTTTGATTCTCGTCTTTAATAATTATAGTCTGCGGGTGATACGGAGAATCCAACATTAGGGATTTTCTTCCTTTCAAAAAAGCCGAGCAGGGAAAACATGTATCGGGAGAAAAGGGATTTTTATGTTTCAGCGTTGTCCAGGTACTGTTCAATCGCTTGTGAGTTTCGGTCGATGATGCAAGTGGATGGTCTGTTTCCGCTAAAACTTCGTTTTTTAGTTGTTTTAGAGTACACTTCCTACATTATATTCTTATGATAGATAGTCAGTTGGATTGTCACGTGGATTGAGTGACCTTTTCGAACATCGACTTTTAAAACCGAATACTTTTGTTGTGAAAAAATGATAAACTTGCAGTATATTTTACAATGTGAAAAGTTTATCGTTCCGTGTGAATAATATTCATTGGTAAGTGCTTTTTTTGTTCCTTAATATGAACTCCAATTTTCAGGTATAAAAACAGTTTTATAAATCCGTTGTTTTTATTTTGTGTTAACATTATATTACATGTTCAGAAAATTATTTCCTCGATTTGAAATATATACGACAGCTGTATATAAGTTTTATTTATTTGAATTTTATTTGATGAAAAAACTAAATTGAAATAACAATAATAAAACATTTTATTGTTTTTTCGCATAAGACTTCACAATGAAAATTAAGACCTTTTTTTTCTATTTTTACTAACTCTTTGATTCATTAAAATATTTATGATCTAGATATTTTTAACAATACAAGAGATAAATGAAGGATTATTCAGGAGTAATAAGAATTTCACTAAAATGAATAAATTATTATTATTATTATTCATTTTTTTTTAATTGAGAAGAAATTGTTTGAATTGTTTTTGCAATTACAGATGTATATAATTTGTTCACAAAGTTATTAAACAAATTCTTATGTAATATAATTCGCATATATGGTTCTTAGAAAAATTTGATAAAGGTAGAAAGTTAACGTTGATGCTAGTTGAAATTTCATTTTTTAAAATTCCACTTTAATGTTTGGAGATCAATGTTCAGCAGGGAAGAAATTTCATACATATATATTTTCTTTATAAAATAAGAATGTAAAATAGTCATAAATGCATGATTATCTTTTTCTCGTTAAAACAATGAAACTTTTCTGTAGCTCATTACATATAAGATTTTTAAATTAGATAGAGCTGAAATTTTAATACTTTTAGTATTTTCATGTAGTATTTTTAGTATCCGGCTCGCACTGATCACAGTGCTGTTGTTGGCAGACCGATCATGGCTTAGAGTCCCCTTGTCTTGAGGCTAACAGTGGGAGGTTTCCGCGGTATGTAACGCATGTAACGCAAATGCGGGTGTAACGCAAATGCGGTTAGCTCCATCAATAATTCTTCCATGAGACAAATTTCTCCAAATACTTAATCCAGGGGTTCCCTTGTCTTCTGTATTAGGTTCAAAATTATAAGGCTACGAAGTTGAACATTGGTTGTGTCGTAAACCCAAAATTTGGGTCTGCTGTTCAGTGACCTTTATAAAATAAAATATATCTTGTGCTTATTGAAATCACATTTTCACTCAAAATGATTGGCTTATTCATCTGTTCGTGTAATTTGACCTTGTCCAACATGGGTGGATTAGGTATCTCTATTGCAGCTTCTTTAAAATAAAAATATGTGCATCGTAAAATAAAACTATACCATTAATATATAATAATAAGTACTATTAATATAATACTATTAATATAAGTTTCCCTGTTTAAAATTTCAATTTAGACAATCTGAATTTTTATGCTTAAGGGGGAAATAACTTATGTTATATAACATACTCTGTAAAAACTGGCAATAACTTATGTCTGTTTTCTTCTGCAGTTCCTTAGAGAACGTGAAGAATTTTTATAAAAAAATATTTTAATCAAAAAAATATTTCCAAAAATCCTATAAGGCACACTTTTGTAACTAGATAATTCGAATAATTATTGTTTTGTTATAATAACATCACTAAATAAGAAGGTATCATAAAAACCTTCCAAACGTTAGAATAATTGTATCGTTTTCCTTTTATAGTTTAAGAAATTATATATCAATGTTTTTTGAGATTGTTCTTTTACTTTTGGTAGAACTGAAGTATGGAGCGAGTATTATTTCTATTTCAGATTGCAAACAAAAAAAAAAAGACTAATTCATAAACATCGGTGATGAAAGTAAAGACTAAAGGCACTATCAGCTGTAATAATTATGATAAATAATCAATTATGAAATAATTATCGTAAACTTTTTTTTTATTTTATATGTGTTTTGACTATTTTATTTTACTTCTAAAAATTATAGAGAATAAATCATGTGGATCCGTCACGTGTCTATCCAGATTACGAAAAGTTCAACGGCTCATGGAATTAAAACTTAACGTGAAGTCTGTAAGATATTAATTATAAAGCTTCAAACTGATTAAATCAGCAAATTAAAAAGAATAAATAAATACTGGAATTTCAAATTTTCCTTTCTGTTATTTAATATTTAGTCTCAAAAATAAGCTGTTTATCAAGGTACTGTGATGAAAATATTACGTATCGGAGTATATTTGAAAATATCTGTTCTACCGATATAAAAAAAACTCTATTTAAATCACATACTAATTTCCGAAAAAAAAGTGGTTTTCCTCTCCGTGTAACGCTAATGCTGGTTAGTTTCATCAAAAAATCATCCACGAAATTTCTCCCAATACCTGTTCTAGAAGTTCCCTTGCCGTCTGGATTATGTTCAAAATTACAAGGCTACGGAGCTGAACATTGATAGTCGCGAACCCAAAAATTGGGTTGGCTGTTCAACGACGGTTATAAAATAAATACGTATTATCAACATTAATTAAGTATCATTGTCGTCAATAATAGTATGACGATTTTTAACGGTTTCTCTAAACAAGTAAGAACCTCTACTCCTTTAATTTTGACATTTAGTACACAGCCCATTTCTTTTATTTCAATTAGTAATTATTACCAAAATTAATTATCATTAGCAAATTTTTTACGTTTTTCCTAAGGGAATTAATACTATACTTCTTTTAATTTTGCTGATATATGAAATTATCTGATACAGCGAATAAAAAAATATATATACTAAAGTACGGTGAACTGATCATGAAGTCAAGACTGCGGTCAGTGAGCCGGTGGGTGACCACTTTGATCAGCCTGCTGTGGGACCGAACATGTTGCTTATCGATTCTTTGTTAAACTGTTCCACCGTAAAGTGTTCGAATTCGCTCGCAAGTCGTAGGGCTACCAAAACAGGGGAGCTATCCCCTCCACAGAGGATCAAAGTTGCAATGGCATGTCAAATTATATTTTGGTCGAATAGTTGCAGAAAAAATCTGTTAAATTATCGGAATTAAATTAGCAATAAAATATAAAAATCCAAAAAATCCCATTTATATTCAAAAATTTATGAATTTCTGATTTTGTAAATTAAAGAAGAATCATTGATGAATTTTTTTCTGAGATCTAAACAACTACAAATAAGTGCAAATTTGAAAAATTATTGCTTGGAAGAGAATCGTGTTTGGAAGATTTTACCTTTAACGGAGAAAAAGACACCGGTGTTCCATGCCCTATTTCATAACCAGAAACTATTAAACTGCTAGATATTATATATATTTTTTATTTTGACCTGAATTAATACAAAATAATGAAAAAAGTACTTAAAATATATTTTATAAAAATGCCGCGTCAAAGGATTAAATTTTTAATGAAATTTTGAATTAAAGTTTGTTTTTGATAAAAGTTGTATTAAATTTAAATCTACATAAAACAATATTAATTGTTATTTTTTCAACCAGTGCTTATTTTCTAATTTTGAAATATTTAAATCCTTGTTAATCTGAACTTTTCTCCCTTTTTTTTTGAGTTTGAATTAAAGAGTCTACTGCATTTTAATCACTACAACCTCGAATTTTTGAAAATACCTTATAAAAGCTCTGAGGGTTGCACATTATTAAACTACTTTCGCGGTTACGATGTACTAGTTACAGTTACTTCATTTTACTCAGAAAGGAATTGGGTGGAGACATTTATGGCCTATAAATTCCAAAAATGCATTATACTTATTAAAATGGTGATACATGAAATACCATCCTCATTTTTCCTAAACGATCATTATGGAAAGTTAATGTTTAGGATTCACTACAAATTTACATTTTTGTAACGAAAATTGTGAAAGAAGTTCTAAATCAATTGTTTTTGTAGAATTTAATGTTAAATTCCTTTTCATCTTTAGATATGAAATGGTTTGTTCTATGAAAATATCGAATTTAAATATATGCTATGAATATGTATTTAGTTTTTAAAAAAAGAGTTTTATGAAAAAGGCCTTTTTTTGCCATTGCTAAAGCTAAAAATGATTTGCCATCAATTTCAATAAAATTTAATAGATGAAACAAAAAATAATTCATTTTAACTGATCTAAGTCATTTATTTAATCTATATGTTACCGATAAAGTATGAAACGCCGGCATTATATAGAATACCTTGGCATTCTATATAATGCTGGGCGTTTTTCGGCAAAGTATGAAATATGAGAAGTATTACATACTTTCCCTAGGCATTGTATAAAATGCCTAGGCATTCTAATCCCCTGTATATCCTACACTGATGTTTTTTAAGGTTCAGTACCACTGCCCGGTATACATTTGCCCGGTATACCCTACACTGAGGTTTTTTTTAAAGTCAAGTGCCACTGCCCGGTATATCCTACACTGATGTTTTTTTAAGGTTCAGTGCCACTGCCCGGTATACATTTGCCCGGTATGCCCTACACCAGTGTTTCCCAAAGTGTGGTACGCGTACCCCCAGGGGTACGGAAACAGTTTAGCGAGGGTACGTGTTCTTATGCGAAATATCTTGCAACATATGAAAATTTCGAAAATTTTTATTTCAAAACAAAACCAGCCATGAAAATTAACGATTACATATTTTTCTATTGGCTATTTTTTGCAGAGTTAACAGTTAATAATTAGTGGTGTCAACAGCCAGTTGTGATTTTTAACTTTTGTGCATATTTTATAGTAAAAAATACATTCATTTTTTTATTAGGGGTACACAGCGTTACGAAAAATTTAGAAAGGGTACACAAAATTCNACATTCACCGGTGAAAGTCAACAACCACCGATTTCGGTCATTCACAGTAGCATGCATATCATTTACATAATAACCTCATCAGGACGTTTATATCATACTTTGCCTAAATATCATTTGGCATTCTTTAGAATGCCTAGGCAATGTGTGAAATATTAATCATTTCATACTTTGCCGGTGACGTATACATAACAAATCATCTGAATATTTCATCTGAATTATTTCATCTTTATTTCATCCGAATACAATAAATCCCTTGCTTCATCTATATAACTATTTAATTTAATAGAATATTATATATCATTTATTT